CTGCCAAAATATGGCAGTAATTAGTCCTATTTTGAAAATAAAAACATGACAGTCTTATTTTGGAATTTTCAAACATTTTTTGTCCTCCATCGGGTAATATTCTCAAAGGAAATAGTCCTAAATACTACTCGTATCGTAGTAAATACTTGTATATACTTTTGAATTTTGAAAAAAAAAACGTTTAATATTCTTACAAATGAACAAATTTACTTTTACTAACTTTAAATAAGGTTATTAAAAAAAATAATAACAATAAATTTAAATTTTTAAATTTACTCATAGGCAGCATGACTTTAAATTAAATACCATGTAGTATAAAAGGAAATGTGCAAATTTAAAGTTGGAAATGCATATATACTCTTGAATTTTTAAAAGAAATAAAAAATATGTTTAATGTTCTCATAAATGAGAAAATTTGATTTTATTTGTAACACCGTCCCCAAATATATTTACTTTTATGTAAATAATGTATTGAACCTTATTAAAGGATTAATGAATTTACGAAGTTGTAAATTTTTATTATTTCTTTCGCGTGAATAGAAAATTGCACGTGGGACCCACACCGGGAGTGGGGGGCCGCCCGACATTCCCGAGACCATATATTTTATTCATCTTGGTCTAGATAATAAATATATAGTGGTGGATATTTCATTTGGGCCATGGAAAGGCCCAGAGTTGACCGATCGATCAATAGAAGCCCAAATTACCGGTACTGGTAATTTAACGAATAACGGCCCGAACTGAATTTCGGAGGCTTATAAATTAAAGTTGGGGAATGTATATTCATTATACATGTCATGATGAGTAAGAGCACATAATATATTTTATTTGACCCGATAAAATAAAATATATTTAAAACAGTCCGAAAAAATACAACTTTCGGGACAAATTGTACACGTCGGGGCAAAAAGGGTTGACCTCCCACATGGGTGGGGGCCAACCCACGATTTTTGCCACTCAAATTGAGGGCTTGGTCGGCTGTTTGAAGAGGAAGGCATGGGAGGGAGAGGTTGACATGATCTAAAAGGCATCAAACAAAAATGAGGTGGCCCCCCATCCACACCCATTTGTTCAATGAGACAAAGGGGTAAGCCTCACCCCTCTCCCACCCTCATTTTCGGCCAAGAGAACCCAGGAAGAGCAAGAAAAACCACCCAGCCTCCTTCCTCCATTGTTGAAGAAAAATCATCAAGGAAGAATCACCCAAAAAGGAGCTAAAGTGCTAAAAGTGTGAAATAACTAAGGTAATGACCTTATTATAACTACTCCTTTATTTTTCTTCTACCATATGAGATATATATATCATGTGAAGAATCCTTGAGAGGGTTCTACATGTTATAAGTATGGATTAATGGGTTGGAAAGTGATTCTATGTCCAAGAACGGACTTAGAAGCCAAAACGACCGGTTCACCGGAAAATAACCGTTTTGAGGTTATTTGTATTAATACGGGTTTCATGATTATAAAACCTTGTTAGGAACTTGTGAAAGGTATTTCAAGTGATTTCACAAAGTTGGTAAAGTCGCCGGAGTTGTCGCCGGAGTTGACCGAAAGTCGCCGGAGTTTCACCGGAGTTCAACCAAGAGGGGTAGAACTTCATAACGCTAGTTCAAGGTGAGTGGACGGCTTAATATCTTATAACTTTTGGGTTAATTATGAGATTACCTAAATAAATGTTATATGATTTCATAATGATGTTTAAAAGATATTTAAACATGTGATTAGCCAATAGGGTTAAGTTTGTATGAAGGAAATTTATTGTTGATGCATGGAATATGATATGAAGAATTATATGAAATGCATATTTGTTTGAAGTGTATTAGAAGCACAAATGAATATTATTAACTTAATTATATGATGATTAAGTTGATACACACAAGGCATGAAATGGCGGTCAACGAAAACGTGGACCGAAGAACAAAGGATTTAATTAATACCGGTTGGTATTAATTAATTATAAACCTATATAAATGCATGGCTTTGCATGGATTGTGATACATAAGATTTATGTATTGGATTAGTTATGAGTAACTAAGGATGATATAGACTCTATCTAGGTTGATAGGAGGTTGATCATAGGAAAACTTGGTGGAGGACCCTAGTACTTAAAAAGTACTTAACACTCAAAAATTTGGTGGAGGACCCTAGTACTTAAAAAGTACTTAACACTCAAACTTGGTGGAGGACCCTAGGACTTAAAGTCCTTAACACTCAAACTTGGTGGAGGACCCTAGTACTTAAAAGTACTTAACACTCAAAACTTGGTGGAGGACCCTAGGACTTAAAAGTCCTTAACACTCAAACTTGGTGGAGGACCCTAGTACTTAAAAGTACTTAACACTCAAAACTTGGTGGAGGACCCTAGGACTTATGAGTCCTTAACACTCACAAACCGGTGGAGTATCCAAGGATTATGATCCTAAAACTCATAGATTGTGATATACAAGTAGGGACAAGGAGGAGTCCTATACACTCATAGGTATATGGGTGGGTTGGGGTTTTTAGTCAAGAATATTGACTATTACTATTTTTTCCCAAATAAAATGGTGATCTACTGACGTGCACTTGTCGTGAGGTGCACTCAAAATAAATATCAATACGACACTAATACGTAGTATAGCGAAGTAAGGTTCGTATCCACAGGGAAAGGAATACTTCTCTCTTTATAAACTAGTAACAAGGGGGGGTTTTAGATTGAGTAAATGAACTTAAATTATATTTAAACACGAAGATGAACGAGTTATGTGGTTTAATTAATAAGAAGAAGACTTGGCTTTGCTTTTATCCACTTAATGAAATGTTCGTCGATCCCGGTTATATCTTTAACTATCTTCCTCTCGAATACTCAATCGAGGAGTATATCCAGTTCATCGAGGGTAGTTATTAATAACGAGACGCGTTCATTAATAAAACTTACTACCGAGTCAATATAGAACAAGCGCCGTATATTAACTTGATAGTAGCAATAAAATCAAGATGAAAACGATTGAGATTGATAACCTCAACACAAGCGGTTTATTGGTTTAATCAATATAATTAATTCCCCTTGACTTATTAATCATGAGAAGCATGCATTAACAACCCAAGTTTACTACCATTGAAAGAACCAAATTAATAACAAGCGTATTAACCGATTGATTCTAGTAATAATTAATATATGAAACAAAACTAGTTGATCCTTTAAGTAATGTTCAAAATATTAATATGAAATATGAATAGGAATTAATTAATACTCAAGGAAGAATATTAAAGAAGATGAATCCTACTATAGTTAATATCAAGATGTTAACTAATTGTCATCTTAGTAACACTCCCCAATATTAACATAGAGGAAGAAATAGCTATTACTATAATTAATGTCAAGATGTTAACTAATTGTCATCTTAGTAACACTCCCCAACATTGATATAGAAATAGTATTTAAAGGAAGAATTAATATTCAAGGAAGAAGATTAAAGAGAATAACTCACAACTTACAAATTCATTAAGCTTCAAAGTAGCAAAACCAAGATGGAAGAGTTTAGCTCCTCATTTGGAGACTAAACATGATAGAAAATATAAAGAAAACACTAATCTAAACTGAGCTAAAGAGTATATGTGAATTGGTTCCCTTAATGTGAAGAAAAAGGGGTGTATTTATAGCAAAATAGAGGTGGCAGGGTTCGGTACTCGATCCAGTATTGGCAATACTGGACCGAGTATGAGAGGAAATTTCCAGGAAATTGTGAAAAATAGGCATACTCGACCGAGTATTGCCAATACTCGACCGAGTATGCGACAGGATTTTCATCAAATATTCAGCCACGTTCTTTTGCTCCCAGATTTGATTTTGACCAGCGTATCAGGCCAATACTCGACCGAGTATTGGCAATACTCGACCGAGTATTGAACAAATTTCAAAATCTTCATTTGATCTTCTCCTTTTTGCACATTCTTTGGTCTTTAGGATCCATCCTTTGATTCTTGGGATGATTTTGACCTGTCCTATGCTCAATAAAATCCTAATCTAAATAAATTACAAATAATTAATGAAAATAAAGTATTACACCAAAAGTGTGTAATTTCTACAACTAGAACTAATAAAAACTAGTTAAAAATACAAAAATACAATCGGAAATTACACGAATATCATCTACGGATCGTATATTTTCCAAGTATACATATGCTAATAAGTATTTCATAACTTGGGGAAAGGACTATTTACTTAAGTATCACCCTATGTTTGGGTCTTATACTTGAAACGCTAGTTATTCTATATTTAGCCTGCTACTCGCTCGGTACTTGTACTGACCCCTTCGGGGGGCCCCACCATTTTCAGGTTGAAGCTAGGGCTTGCTACTTGCACCTTCTCAAGGGTGATATCAAATCAGGAAGACGTGGTTCGTGCTTCCTTATTTTCTTTCAAACTACCGAACACTTGCTCATGGATATTTGTTTTACTATAAACTATTTTTGGGGCTTGCATGCCCATGTTGTTGGCCGGTTGTGGCTCATGACGTACCGTTGAATATTTCCGCTATTCATTGGTTTGAATGTGATGTTGTTATGTATGTTTACTACTGAGTATGGATGGATTGTTTTTCTCGAACGCCTTGAGTAATTAAGTGAGGTTGACTCGTGGGTGACATCACTTAGTTATACGGCGGTTGTACACGCGCTTGGATTGCGGTCTGGGGCGTGACAATTAAGTGGTATCAGAGCCATCTCAGTTCTAAACATTATAATCAACCTCTCACAAAAGATTTTACAAAAGAGTTTTTACCGAAAACCATGAGCATTGTATTTTGACGTTTATAGGACTATTGGTGCTTAAGTTGCAAGGCCTCTAATTGTTAAGACGGTACCCTTAACAATTGGTATGGTAATGACTTGGGCCAATACGTGTCTGTAACGTTCTTCCGTCAGTTGACATTTATAGGAGTCTAATGACTCATCCATATTTCTTTCAGAAATGGAGGGCAGGCGAATGAGGACCAGGAACAATCCGAGGGGGCAGGCGCCGGTAGCATCCCAAAGGGGAAGCCGGGCTGCATCTCGGGGTTCGAGAGGAGGCCGTGGAGGCTGTGGAAGCCGTGGAGGTCATCAAGCTCACACTGTGAGTGATGGCCATGTGAGCTCGGTGTATGAGACCAACACCGAAGACTACGACTCAACCTACGTGCCAGAGACGGAGCATGAAGAGACCTCGTATGATGGGGGTGACACGTACACCGATGATGATGATGATGAAGAGAGTGATGCCAAGTTCGCCCAAATGGGCGAATTGCTTGAATGGTATCAAAAAGAAAAATTGAGGAGGGACCTTAGGCGCCAAGCGAGGCGTGGCTCTCGCGGTGGTTCGGGTCAAGGAAGCCGGGGAGCTTCCGTGGCCACCCCAGCGGCGTCACAAGGTGGGCGTGAAGGAGGTTTTGTCGTGAGAATCTCCAAGTACCTCAAGGAGGCTAGGGCCTTGGGGTGTAGGTCCTTCGACGGCACCGGTGACATTACCGTTGCCGCAGATTGGATTAAGAAGGTGAAGGATGCATCAAGAGACATGCAAATCACACCGGACGTGAAGTTGGCTGTCGCTTCACGGTTACTTGAAGGGATAGCCTCTACGTGGTGGGAGAGCGTGGAAGGGAAGTACCATGGGGAAATAACATGGGCGGACTTTGAGCTAGAGTTCTATGCTCAATACTACTCCGAGTACGAGGTGAATGTGAAACGGAGAGAGTACACTAACCTCAAACAGAAAGATGGCGGCACAGTTAAACAACTGGAACAAGAGTTTAGAACCTTGGCTAGGTTCTTGCCGGAGTACGCGGTTGATGAGAACCGCATGACGGAGCACTTTTGGGATGCCCTACTCTTGGACATCCGTGACCGAGCTACGTACTCGCGCCACATGACCTTCAGCGAGGTGGTGGAACAGGGCCTTCTCGGGGAGGCCCAATGGAATGAGAGGAAAGAGAGAGACGCCGAAGAGGCGAAAAAGAGGAAATGGCAAAATTCGGGGCCGCCCGAGCAAGCACGGAAGGATAAACACGGCGGGGGTGGCGGTTCGTTCAAGACTCCGGCACCACCGGCAAAGAAGAACAGGGATGCTCGGTGGCATGCATCCTCCTCCCAAAAGACGGGGCCTCCAAAGTGTGCCAATTGTTCGAAAAATCACTTTGGGAAGTGCAATGCACCCCCGAGGTGTTATCAATGTGGGAACACGGGCCACATGAAGGCCAATTGCCCACAACTGGGGGGCGGAGGAGCTCCGGGATCCGGAGGGGGAATCATGACGGGGAGAAACCGCGCGGGCCCGTCAAACGGCGGTACGGGAAGAGGCGGCGCGTCCACAAGTCATGTCGCGTCCGTAAATCAAGGCGGGACCCAAGCACGAGTGTACGCAATGACCGAGGCGGATGCGCGAGCAAACCCGGACTCCGTTGCAGGTAATACGCTTATTTTCCTGTATTTCTAGGCTTATTTGGGTCATACGAGTCATCGGGTTTGGGTGCGGGCCACCCCGGGGTCAAACCCCGCGAATTCGGGGCGAAACGGGCTAAAAACAACTACGCGCGATCGCGCGTACCTACAGACGCACGACCGTGCGTACGAGGCAGCAGCCTCTGGCCATTTTCCGCGCAGACGCACGCCGTGCGTGCAGGGAAGGCACGCCGTGCGTGGGACGCACGACCGTGCGTGACCAGCTACGCACGATCGTGCGTAGCCGGCAGTGGCGGATTCCGAACTTCTCACTCACGCACGACCGTGCGTGCCACCCAGGCACGCCGTGCGTGGACCCCAGGCACCCGAAACTTGATTTTTTCGCCCCGTTCTCCTACGTTTGGATCCCCGTTTGATTCCAAACATTAGTATGAACCTAATAACCTCCTAAAGATGTGTAAAAACATTAGAAAAGGTATCTTACATGGTGTATAAATGTAGGAACATTAAAGATCAATGGTAGGTGTGCGAGGATCCTCATCGATACCGGGGCACAACGCTCATTTGTGAGTGAGGCGTTTGCCGAGGGGCTCGACGTGCCATTGACGCCTATGACACAAACATTGCTAGTCTCCACACCGTTAGGAGACGACGTGGAGAGAAATCATTACTATCCATCATGTGAGGTGGAAGTGACGGGTCAACCCTTGACTTGTGATTTCGTACCTCTAAGCATGTTGGAGTTCGATGCAATCCTAGGAATGGATTGGCTTGAGAAGCACCATGCTCGAGTTGATTGCTACACCAAGGTGTTGGAGCTCGAGGATGATCTAGGAAACACGTTATGTTTCGAAGGAGATCGGGGGAAATCTAGTGCTTGTATCATATCCGTGATGAGAGCACGGAAGATGATGAGGAAGGGATGCCACGCGTACCTTGCCTACGTGGTGGATGATACCAAGAAGGAAGTCGACATCAAAGATGTACGGGTCGTGTGCAAGTACCTGGATGTCTTTCCCAAAGACCTACCGGGGCTTCCACCTGATAGAGAGATAGAGTTTGTAATTGAAGTGGAGCCGGGAACCAAACCCATTTCGATTCCTCCTTATCGAATGGCGCCGGCCGAACTCCAAGAGTTGAAGGTCCAACTACAAGAATTACTGGACAACGGGTTCATCAGACCCAGTCATTCACCGTGGGGAGCACCCGTACTCTTCGTAAAAAAGAAAGATGGTACACTAAGAATGTGTATTGACTACCGACAGTTGAACAAGGTCACGATCAAGAACAGGTATCCCTTACCGAGGATTGATGACTTGTTTGATCAACTTCGGGGGGCAATAGTGTTCTCGAAGATTGATTTGAGGTCGGGGTATCATCAGTTGAAGATCAAGGAAAGCGACATACCTAAAAGTGCATTCCGTACTAGGTATGGTCATTACGAGTTCCTTGTGATGTCGTTTGGTTTAACCAACGCACCGGCGGCATTCATGGACTTGATGAACCGTGTGTTTAGTGAATACTTAGACCAATTTGTGATAGTATTCATTGACGACATCCTGATATACTCCAAGAGCGAGGAAGAGCACGAACACCATTTGAGGCTTGTACTTGATCGGCTAAAGGAAAAGCAACTCTTCGCCAAGTTCTCCAAATGCGAATTTTGGCTCAAAGAGATTGGTTTCCTCGGTCATGTCATATCCGGTTCAGGTGTTGCTGTGGATAACGCCAAGATAAAAGCGATCATGGATTGGGAGAGACCCAGGAATGCGAAGGAGATACGTAGTTTCCTTGGCTTAGCGGGATACTATCGTAAATTTGTTGAAAAATTCTCCGTATTGGCGTCTCCATTAACGAAGCTCACAAAGAAAGGGGCCAAGTTCATATGGGACGATAAGTGCGAGAAGGGGTTCCTTGAATTGAAGAAACGACTTACCGAAGCACCAGTCCTTGCCCTACCCATACAGGGGATAGGGTACGACATTTATAGCGATGCTAGCATCCAAGGGCTTGGATGTGTACTGATGCAAAACGGTAAGGTGATTGCCTATGCTTCTAGGCAATTGAGGAAACACGAGGTGAACTACCCTACTCACGATCTAGAGTTGGGGGCGGTAGTGTTTGCACTGAAGATTTGGAGGCATTACCTCTACGGGGAGACGTGTCACATTTATACTGATCATAAGAGCTTGAAGTATGTATTCACTCAGAAAGAGTTGAATATGAGGCAGAGGAGATGGATGGAGTTGATCAAGGACTATGACTTGATCATCGACTATCATCCCGGAAAGGCCAATGTAGTGGCCGACGCACTGAGCAGGAAGAGTACGTCAGGGACGTTACTTACTTGTCTTCGAGTATTGAGGGCACACGTGGAGGTGTCCACGACCGGGGCGCTCATTGCTAGGTTCGAAGTGAGGCCTACATTGCTGAGTGAGATCAGTAGATGTCAGGCCATCGATGAGGAATGTCGGAAGATCCGCGAACGGATCCTTGAGGGGCCTGTCGAGAATTTTCGGGTACGTGATGACGGTCTTTTATTATTTAAGGATCGTGTGTGTATACCAAAGAATGAGGAGCTCCAGAAGTCTATACTTGAGGAGGCTCATTCTTCAGCATATGCCATGCATCCAGGAGGTACTAAGATGTACCGAGATCTGAAGGAAAGTTACTGGTGGTCAGGTATGAAGAGAGATATCGCAGAGTTTGTGAGTCGATGCCTTACTTGCCAGCAAGTTAAGGCAGAGCATCAGCACCCAGCAGGGCTCTTACAACCGCTCACCATCCCAGAGTGGAAGTGGGAACATGTGACCATGGACTTCGTGGTGGGGCTGCCACGAACAGTGAACAACTACGATGCCGTATGGGTAGTGGTTGATAGGCTCACCAAGAGTGCACACTTTCTGCCTATCAACATTACTTATCCTCTTGAAAGATTAGCCAAGCTATACACGGAGGAGATTGTGAGATTACACGGAGTCCCCATATCCATTGTCTCGGATAGGGATCCACGATTCACATCCCGATTTTGGCCAAAGTTTCAAGCATCTTTGGGGACTAAACTGAAGTTTAGCACAGCTTTTCACCCACATACGGATGGACAGTCCGAGCGGGTGATACAGGTTTTGGAAGACATGCTTAGGGCATGTGCTTTGGAGTTCCAGGGGAGTTGGGACAAGCATTTGGCCCTAGTGGAGTTTGCCTATAACAACAGTTATCAGGCAAGTATCGGCATGCCCCCATATGAAGCATTGTATGGGAGGAAATGCAGAACCCCATTGTGTTGGGACGAGGTTGGCGAGGCCAGACTCGAAGGGATAGAGCTGGTTGAGATCACCAAGGCCAAGGTAAGGATCATTCGGGATAGATTGAAGGCTGCTCAGGACCGACAGAAGAGTTATGCTGACAAACGGCGGAGACCGTTGGAGTTCGAGGTCGGTGATGAGGTTTTCCTAAGGATTACTCCTTGGAAGGCCATCATCCGATTTGTATCGAGGGGGAAGCTTAATCCCCGATACATTGGTCCATTTGAGATCCTTGAAAGGATTGGGGCCGTGGCCTACCGCCTCAAGTTGACGCCTGAACTTGAGAAGATACATGACGTGTTTCATGTGTCAATGCTCAAGAAGTACATACGAGACCCATCTCATATTCTTGAGAAACCACCGGTAGAGATCCGTGAGGACTTGCAATATGCAGTGGAACCAGTGAAGATTGTTGGTCAACAAGTGAAGAAGCTTAGGAATAAGGAGATTCCTATGGTAAAGGTCCTTTGGAGGAGTGATCGAGTCGAAGAAGAAACTTGGGAGACCGAGGTCTCAATGAGGGAGCAATACCCATTTCTTTTCGATTAGATACTTGGATTTCAGGGACGAAATCCCAAATAAGGGGGGGTGAACTTGTAACACCGTCCCCAAATATATTTACTTTTATGTAAATAATGTATTGAACCTTATTAAAGGATTAATGAATTTACGAAGTTGTAAATTTTTATTATTTCTTTCGCGTGAATAGAAAATTGCACGTGGGACCCACACCGGGAGTGGGGGCCGCCCGACATTCCCGAGACCATATATTTTATTCATCTTGGTCTAGATAATAAATATATAGTGGTGGATATTTCATTTGGGCCATGGAAAGGCCCAGAGTTGACCGATCGATCAATAGAAGCCCAAATTACCGGTACTGGTAATTTAACGAATAACGGCCCGAACTGAATTTCGGAGGCTTATAAATTAAAGTTGGGGAATGTATATTCATTATACATGTCATAATGAGTAAGAGCACATAATATATTTTATTTGACCCGATAAAATAAAATATATTTAAAACAGTCCGAAAAAATACAACTTTCGGGACAAATTGTACACGTCGGGGCAAAAAGGGTTGACCTCCCACATGGGTGGGGGCCAACCCACGATTTTTGCCACTCAAATTGAGGGCTTGGTCGGCTGTTTGAAGAGGAAGGCATGGGAGGGAGAGGTTGACATGATCTAAAAGGCATCAAACAAAAATGAGGTGGCCCCCCATCCACACCCATTTGTTCAATGAGACAAAGGGGTAAGCCTCACCCCTCTCCCACCCTCATTTTCGGCCAAGAGAACCCAGGAAGAGCAAGAAAAACCACCCAGCCTCCTTCCTCCATTGTTGAAGAAAAATCATCAAGGAAGAATCACCCAAAAAGGAGCTAAAGTGCTAAAAGTGTGAAATAACTAAGGTAATGACCTTATTATAACTACTCCTTTATTTTTCTTCTACCATATGAGATATATATCATGTGAAGAATCCTTGAGAGGGTTCTACATGTTATAAGTATGGATTAATGGGTTGGAAAGTGATTCTATGTCCAAGAACGGACTTAGAAGCCAAAACGACCGGTTCACCGGAAAATAACCGTTTTGAGGTTATTTGTATTAATACGGGTTTCATGATTATAAAACCTTGTTAGGAACTTGTGAAAGGTATTTCAAGTGATTTCACAAAGTTGGTAAAGTCGCCGGAGTTGTCGCCGGAGTTGACCGAAAGTCGCCGGAGTTTCACCGGAGTTCAACCAAGAGGGGTAGAACTTCATAACGCTAGTTCAAGGTGAGTGGACGGCTTAATATCTTATAACTTTTGGGTTAATTATGAGATTACCTAAATAAATGTTATATGATTTCATAATGATGTTTAAAAGATATTTAAACATGTGATTAGCCAATAGGGTTAAGTTTGTATGAAGGAAATTTATTGTTGATGCATGGAATATGATATGAAGAATTATATGAAATGCATATTTGTTTGAAGTGTATTAGAAGCACAAATGAATATTATTAACTTAATTATATGATGATTAAGTTGATACACACAAGGCATGAAATGGCGGTCAACGAAAACGTGGACCGAAGAACAAAGGATTTAATTAATACCGGTTGGTATTAATTAATTATAAACCTATATAAATGCATGGCTTTGCATGGATTGTGATACATAAGATTTATGTATTGGATTAGTTATGAGTAACTAAGGATGATATAGACTCTATCTAGGTTGATAGGAGGTTGATCATAGGAAAACTTGGTGGAGGACCCTAGTACTTAAAAAGTACTTAACACTCAAAAATTTGGTGGAGGACCCTAGTACTTAAAAAGTACTTAACACTCAAACTTGGTGGAGGACCCTAGGACTTAAAGTCCTTAACACTCAAACTTGGTGGAGGACCCTAGTACTTAAAAGTACTTAACACTCAAAACTTGGTGGAGGACCCTAGGACTTAAAAGTCCTTAACACTCAAACTTGGTGGAGGACCCTAGTACTTAAAAGTACTTAACACTCAAAACTTGGTGGAGGACCCTAGGACTTATGAGTCCTTAACACTCACAAACCGGTGGAGTATCCAAGGATTATGATCCTAAAACTCATAGATTGTGATATACAAGTAGGGACAAGGAGGAGTCCTATACACTCATAGGTATATGGGTGGGTTGGGGTTTTTAGTCAAGAATATGACTATTACTATTTTTTCCCAAATAAAATGGTGATCTACGGATCGTATATTTTCCAAGTATACATATGCTAATAAGTATTTCATAACTTGGGGAAAGGACTATTTACTTAAGTATCACCCTATGTTTGGGTCTTATACTTGAAACGCTAGTTATTCTATATTTAGCATGCTACTCGCTCGGTACTTGTACTGACCCCTTCGGGGGGCCCCACCATTTTCAGGTTGAAGCTAGGGCTTGCTACTTGCACCTTCTCAAGGGTGATATCAAATCAGGAAGACGTGGTTCGTGCTTCCTTATTTTCTTTCAAACTACCGAACACTTGCTCATGGATATTTGTTTTACTATAAACTATTTTTGGGGCTTGCATGCCCATGTTGTTGGCCGGTTGTGGCTCATGACGTACCGTTGAATATTTCCGCTATTCATTGGTTTGAATGTGATGTTGTTATGTATGTTTACTACTGAGTATGGATGGATTGTTTTTCTCGAACGCCTTGAGTAATTAAGTGAGGTTGACTCGTGGGTGACATCACTTAGTTATACGGCGGTTGTACACGCGCTTGGATTGCGGTCTGGGGCGTGACATTATTAACTTTAAATAAATTTAATATATGTATATATATATATATTTAAATTTTGAAATTGAAAAAAAGTAAAAATAAAGATTTATTTTATGTTAAAATATTAACTAACTCTTTGGTTTTAAATTGCAAAAATGTTAGGGCATGTTTACTAACAGAGATATTTTCCTGTTTTCTACTTCTTTTTTTCGTTCTCCAATTTTATGTTTTTATTTTTCAGTTTTTCTATCTCCAATTTTCTGTTTCTATTTTTTAGTTTTCTATTTTCAAATTTGAAAACATGTTCATCAATGTTTTCACACAGTTCTCCAATTCCACACCCTTGACCCCTACACTCTACCCATACTCCACCACAACCCCACCCATACCTACTCGTAGGGGTCGGGTAGGGAAGTTATGGGTGGGTGTGGGGTAAGGGGTATGGTCGGGGTGGGGTGGTAAGGTCTAGGGGTTGGGTGGGGGTAGTGGGTGGGTTAGGGCCGTATTTAGGATTAAGGGTGGGGTAGTGGGTAGGGTTGGGGTAAGGTAAGGGTAGGGTAGGGAGGTTGGGATAGGATGGCGGCAGGGTGGGGCCGGGTAGGGAAGGGATAGGGTGGGGGTAGGATGGCGGTAAGGGTAGGGGTAGTGGGTGGGGTTTGGGGTTGGGGTAAGGTAGGGGTAGGGTAGGGAGTTGGGATAGGATGGCGGTAGGGTGGGCCCGGGATCCGGGTGGGGCCAAGGTAGGGTGGGGGTAGGATGGTGGTACCGGGGTGGGGGTAGGATGGCGGTGGGGTGGGGCCGAGGTAGGAGGCATGTGGTAAGGGGTAAGGTAGGGGTAAGTGGTAATATACGAGGGGTGGGGTGGGGTAGGGTGTGTCGGGGTGGGGTCGAGGTGGTAGGGGTTGGCGGTAGGGTAGGGTGGATCGAGGTGGGGTCGAGGTGATAGGGGGTGGCGGTAGGGTAGGGTGGATCGGTGTGGGGCCGAGGTCGGGGCATCTGGTGGGGGTGGGGTAAGGTCATTATAGGGAAAAATGGGTACGCGGGGTGGGGGTTGGGTGGGTAGGGTAGGGGTAAGGGGTAAGGTACGAGGATGGAGGTACCGGAATGGAATCGACATCGGAGCGGTACCGGACCCACCACTAGGTGTAAGTATGCAAATTCATTGCAAAGGCAGTGTAGCATCTGCGTTTTCCAAATTTGGAAAACTAGTAAAAGTCACTTCTCCAAATCATTAAAGAAAAGAGACATGTTTCATTTTTTCCGTTTTGGAAAACAATTTGGTAAACACGTTTTTCTTTTTTCCTTTCTCCAGTTTTCCAGGAATTTCTTTGGTAAACATGTTTCTTGTTTTCGGTTTTCCAGTTTTCCAGTTTTCTGGAAAATATTTCTGTTAGTAATCAGGCTCTTAGTTTTTCCTTGTGAATGAAACACTTCAAATTCATAAATATTAACTTTAGTATTTTTGCAAAATTTCATAAACATTGGTACATTTTTTGTAATACCTTTTTTGGTTTTGTTTAAACATGACAACTAATTAGATATAGAGGGAGTAGTATTTAAGTTATAGACTGGTTTTAATCCTTACGTTGATCGGTTTTTAATATAAATTTCTTTTCCTGTAAAAAAAGAAGGGGAATTCTATTAACAGACCCCTTTTTTATATTCAAAGCCACAAAATTTTCAAATTAATTTATTTCCTTCTATACCCTTACTAACCATTTCACCGACTAAAGACCACGACTACCGATTTTGTTGTTCAGATTAAAGCAAGCCATCTACTTCGCTGTTGTTCTTCTATTACGAAGACCGGTCACGTTGTTGTATACTCCCCCCGGCCCGCTAAGAATGTCACATTTTACCTTTTCGGGAAATCCTACTAAGATTGCCTCATACCAAATTTGGTAAAGTTTGTGTGGCTCTAAATCATTCTTACTTTATTCTTACTTTGTCAATTTAATATCAACCACACAAACCTACTTTTCTTAATAATCATGGCACCTTCTTTTGTCCCAATCTTAGTGGGACGGGGGGTAGTATTTTATTTTACCTTAAAGACGGGATATTTTACCAATTAGAGCTGGAAGAGAAATTTTAAATTTTACCATAACTCATGCCCATTGTATGTTTGTTAATTTGTTAATGAATACAAGGGGGGAATATATGTGGCCTATTTGTTGAGGCTTCACTTATTGGCAATACTTAAAAATGGGCACAACACATTTTAAGTTTTTAGTTTTAAGGAGGGCCTCACTTTAGAAGAAACAAAGAAGGTAGATATCAAACCTCAGGCTATTTTGATTGTGCTTCGAAACCACTTGTCCACTTTCTCCGACAAGGAGACGAGTTGTGATATTGATACAATGATGTGGTGTGTGTGATGCTAGTTGTGAGCGGAAAAGGAGTGCAGGTTTAATGTCGATTTCAACTTTGGTATGCCGAAGTAGTCCGTGAAAGGTTGAAGGCGGTTGTGTAAATGGACATTGAAGGAGCTACGGTGGACAAATAGGTTGACAAAGAAGACCATGGTGAGTTTTATCGGGAGAAAAAAATATAGTTGGACGTTTTTTGTTTTTTTTATTCAAATGTAGCGAGGGCATTTAGTAAAATTGGGGGCGTGAATAGAAATGCCCAAAAAAGAAATGCACATTTTGGTAATACAATTTTCAATTTGGAAAAGGAAGTGTAGAACAGAACTGCGGTCTGGTTCTAGCGGAAGTTTCCTGCTAGGTTTTTTTCTGGCGGCAATTCTAGGATTGTCTGGCTCGACTTTTTGGCGAGATACTCCGTTCTCTTCTGGTGATTCGAAGGATATGAGTTTAGTAAGTTGGAATTGCATGGGTCTTAGTAACGTAGCCACAGTGCAAGTGTTGAGTGATCTGTCCATAGAGAAGAAGTCGTCGGTGATTTTCTTGGTGGAAACAAAACCGGGGCAGCGACATGTAAACAGAGTGATGGAGAATATGGGCTTTATGAAGGGTTTTATTTGTGGTTGAGAGTGTGGGGAGAAGTGGAGGTTTGGCTCTCTGTTGGAGGGACAAAGCAGATGTGATTATACTTGATGCATCTCAATACTTCATAGACAGTCTAATTTGAATGAAATAAGGCGAACCTCACTGGCTCCTTATTGGTTTTATGGTATTCTTGAACGAAATAGTAGAAAAGAAGCTTGGGTAGTGTTAAGGGATTTGGCGAATTGTTGTTATCATCCATGGATGTTTTTGGGGACTTTAACGACATAATGTTTGATAGTGAAAAGAGAGGTGGATTGCAGCAACTGCTTTGGCATATGCGTGGATTTTGTGAAGCAATTTGGGCTTCCGGTCTACGAGACTTTCATTTCGATGGATACCAATGGACGTGGGAGAGAGGGAGGGGACGACTGAACTAGTAGAAGAAAAGCTGGATATGATTCTGGTTAATGAAGGTCTGCGCTCACAATTCAGAGGTGCACAGGCAAGGTCTTTGGAGGGGTTTACGAGTGATCATTTGGTGCTAATGATCAACCTTCTTAATTCTCAGCAGGAGCACCAGAAAAGATCCTTTAGGTTTGAAAACTTTTGGACAAGGGAAGAAGAGTGTCATGAATTAATTAAGAAATGTTGGGTATCAAACACTAGCTCAAGTATCCTGCAAAAAAAATGAACATTGCAGTTACGGATTGGATCATTGGGGATGAGTTAGAAGAGTGAGATTTGTTGTCCGTATCAGTATTTTCAAAAAACGTTTTTAGGAGTTGTGGTGTAAGCAAGGCATAAGGTTTGAGGCGGAATTTCAAAGAGTCTATATTACTCTAGTTGAGCTCTTGTAGCAACAAAACACTTTTTGGAAGCACTGAGCAAAGAAATTTTGGTTGAAGGGGGTGATATAAATTCAAAAAAGATTCACAATTCTGTCAGGCAAAGGAAGAGAAGGAACCATATGACAGGGCTGAGAGATGAAACGGTAATTGGGTTACTGACAGGGGCAAGTTGAGGCACTTGGTTGGGATTATTTTGAGAATTTTTTCCGGTAACTGTAGCTATTCGGGGATTCGAATTGGTGGGAGCTACACGTGTTTCTCCGACACAAAACAATGCTTTACTACAACCAATTTCTGAATCAGAGGTAAGGAGAGCTGTCTTTGATAAATGGAGGTTGAAATCATATCTCCAGATTGGTACACTGATAGGTGAATTCAAGGTTGTGAGATCCTACCATAGATCTTGGATCTTGTATAAGGGTTTCACGCGTAAGGAAGAGAGGGCGGCTGCAGGGGGTAGCATGGCTGATCCGAATTTTAAGCCTGAGGGTCATGTTGTTCTGTTAACCGGCTACGGTAGAAAACGTCTGACCGATTATTGGGAATATCTGAATTCTCATGGGACCCACTTTGGCCGCAAATGACATATTTGGTGAACTAAAAAGAGACAAATTGCATTGGGGATATTATCTCAGACAAGTTTGCCGTGTACCCACAAGACTAATTTGGGGCCCGTTATGCAGTTAATGCAGGTTCTAATGGTTGCCTTTCCTATGATCGGTCATGTGACACCGCACCCGAACGTCCTTGAAAATTCGGTTTAAAATTCAAAAGTGATGTATTGAATTTCCAATTGCAAAACAATGGGAGAAACGATTAATATTTTACGAAGTACATGATTGAATATTGTATTGTTCAAACCCGCATTCTTTTGTAATTTTCATCGTGTAAATTATTGGGATGAGCCTACACATATTGGAGATCAATAATGTGATTTAGGAAGTTGACTTGTTCTAAATAAATTAGGATGAGTACAAAAAGACATCTTTGACAAAGATAAAACAATAGGACCCATCTTCCCATTTTTGGAAGTATTGGTAGATATTTTGGACCCCAAATTTAATGGGATCAATTGGGAACCACTCCACATGGTATTAGTACCTGCAAAACAAATAAAAATGGGTTAGGAGACTTACCTTGGCCGGCCATTATGGAGAAGAGCTGCACATGACTTGATAAGAATCAAAGTTTGGGGCCACCACTCTTATTTTCGCACAAATTGGTGTGCTGTTTGTCTCCTCTCATTATAGGAGCTATCCTCAACCAAATAACGTGTATGAGGTGTCCTTGGATAGCCTTTGAAGTCTATTATCTCAATTGAGTGGTCTTTGTTCGAGGAGAGAAGGATTATCTTGCAAAAATCGAGCTGGAACGAGCAAAGGTCTGTGAACTCGAGCTGTGAGAGTGCTGAGACTGTTTGGTCGATATCTCGAGTTTTACAAGTCCAATTAAGGCGTGTGAGATACCCACAGAAAGCTCTCAAGACGAGGAATCCGTGAAGGTCTGGTTTGCAGGAATCGGAGTTGTGGAAGGCTTCCAAATCGTCCGAGCAAAACACAACCTCGCAGGAGAGGATTTAATCTTCTAAAGTGAGTTTTAACCCCAAAGCTTTACTTTTCATTCTCCAAATGATATGAACGATTGGTGAGACTATTATACACTAATCCAAGTGTATAATATGTCCCTAAAAAGTTATCTTATTGATGTAAAGGTTAGATACTAACCTAGATGCAAATATTGGAAAACTAGGAATCGAGTTAGCCGGAAAACACCCGTTCTAGGGGCTGTTTTCATATCAACGATTAAGGGCTGAACTAGCACTTTGAGGAGGCTGTTTAACACTCATATTTGAGCAAGGAATCAGTCCCAAATCCACCTTGACCAAAGATTTGACCATTGGACCAAGAAGGGAAAGTTTAAAGCTCAATTGAGGTGAGGATTGACATCTAATTGCTTACAACTTGTAGGTTAAGCATGAGATTACCTAAATGCTTAAATCATGGTTTTTCATGGATTATGATGATTATATATATTGATGAAATATTGATATAGTTGCCAAGGAATGAAATTTGAAATGATTTGAGAAGGTATGAATAATATGAGATTAAATGAGTATAAATGAACTATTTTGTGAAAATGGGCATTTTGCTCATGTATGAATTATGTGGATACATAAATGAATATTTGTGTATTGAGATTGAATACTTAAGTTGCTGCTACATAATTATAAATATGTAGAGAATTACAAATAATGAGGATAATGGTATGATAACAATAATCTTAATAGTATTGAAATACTAGTTAGTGATTATTGGAACTTGTTGATTAAATCGATCCTAGGGATTGGATTGTATGAAAGGTACTTGAATATAGTTCAAGTGTATATAATAACTTAGTTTGGAACTAAGGTTAAGTTATGGGAAGTCTTTAAGGATGACCCAAAGTAGTTTAATGATATGTCAATTCTAGGCATGGGGTTGCTTGAGAATTGGACCTTAATGCATGGTGATGTAATAGAGCCGAGCTCTAGAATGCATGTAAGGTGTAGACTTGGAGTCTATGTATTGTATAGCTAGAGCCGAGCTCTAGGACTTGCGTGGTGATGTAATAGAGCCGAGCTCTAGAACGCAAGGTAAGGAAATTGGCCCGAGGTATATGAATTGTATGGTGATGTAGTAGAGCCGAGCTCTAGAATACAATGTCATGTACTAGGGTTGGACTCTAGGAGTTGTCGTGGCTTATAGTCACGGGGTTGGGAATGGTGATTTCCAAATGAACATGGGCCCACGGGCCGTCTACTTGACTTTTATATAAAGTAAGTATATTTTTAAACGGGGTAACTTAGGGTTACAATCATAATGTACTATCACCCTATTTGAGGGTCTTGTGTTTGAAATACTTGTTGTATATCTATTAGATGCCTGCCACACCAGCACTTTATAGCCGTATAGAGTGCTGACCCCTTCGGGGGCGTCCCACCACCATTTTTCAGGTTGAGGCTAGAGCTTGCTTCCTGTGCTCGTTGCTCGAGAGATCATCTAGGAGCGAAGACTTGGTTCGTGCTTCCTCCATTCGGATTTTAAACATTAATAAACATGCTCATGGATATTTTAATATAGAGCCTGCGTGCTCATGAATAGCCCTGTGTGGCCCTTTTGTTTTAAACAATGTTTTCCGCTGCTTTATGAATTACTTATTATGTTGTTTATGGATGACTTGTGTGTGAATGATATTCATGACGCCTTGTATAATATGAATGTGTTGGACTGCGGTTGACTATTCGTATTGTACGGCGGGTTGTTGCCGTGTCCGGGGAGGTCCGGGGCGTGACAATTAAGTTGGTATCAGAGCCTTAGTCCATAAACTTCATAATGAAGTCTCAAAATTCTCTTTTTGGAAAGATTTTGAAAAAACCATGAGCATAGAAGTTTTGTACTTGGAGAGCTTTTGGTACTTGGGTTGCAAGGTCTCTAATTGTTAAGATGGTACCCTTAGCAATTGGTATGGCGGTGACTCGAGCCAGAATGTGTCTTAAGTACCTATCCGTCAATTGACATTTGATACGAGTCTAACGACTCTTTCCAAATTCTTTCAGAAATGGACCGTGGTGGCAGGATTACTAGGAGAAACCCGACCGGCCGTGTACCAGTGGAGACTGGACAGGGCAGTCGAAGGACCTCTAGGGCATCTAGAGGAGCTGGCCGTGGAGGCCGATCACAGACCGTGAGTGACGGTCATGTGGACACAGAAAGTGAAACCTACTGGTCCTATGAGGACTCGACTTACCAACCGGAAACTGAGCCGGTTGAGACCCCTTACGAAGGGGATGACGATGATGTAAGTGATGAAGAGGGGGAGAATGACTCCCTAGCAAGAATTGAGGCGCTGCTCCAACAATATCAACGGGAGCGCGAGGAAAGGAGGCAACGCCGAAGACGGCGAGCGGGGCAACCTTCGGGCATGGCTTCGAGAGGAGGAAGTCATGGTGCATCTAGAGTCCATGTGGAACCACATGGAGGCCAAAATGATGGAGGTCCAACCATAAGGATCTCCAAATTTATCAAAGAAGCAAGAGATTTGGGGTGCAAACCCTTTGATGGAGCAGGGGACATTTCAGTTGCAGCACAATGGATTAAGAGGCTAAATGAAGCAGCCCTTGACATGCAAATCGCGCCAAATCTCAAACTGAGAATTGCGGTAAGATTGCTCGAGGGGATGGCATCCAAGTGGTGGGATGGAACCAAGAGCAAGTACGGTGAGACCGTCGTTTGGGAGGACTTCCAACGGGAGTTCTTTGCCCAATATTATTCTGATTTTGAGGTGAACAAGAAGGTGAGGGAATACACCCTCCTGACCCAAGGAGGTAACATGACAGTGAAGGAACTTGAGTACAAGTTCCGGGATCTCGCCGACTACATACCGGAGTATGCTTGTGACGAGAACCGAATGGTAAACCACTTTTGGGATGCTCTTGACTTGGAGATACGTGATAGGGCAACACAATTGCCTAATATGACCTTCGCCCAAGTGGTTGACCAAGCGTTGAAGGGGGAGAAACAGTGGGAGGAGAGGAAGAAGAGAGACGCCGAGGAGGCGAAAAAGAGAAAATGGGAGAGTCATGGCTCCCAAGGTTCCAACAAAAAGGGGAACCATGGAGGAGGATCTTTCCGGGCACCGCCGCCACCGTCTAGGGGGAATCAAGGCCCGAGTGGGCAAGGCTCGAGGTCACAAACCTCGGTGGTAACTCGTTGCAACAATTGCAAGAGGAACCACTCCGGTAAATGTCGCGACCCCCCTAGATGTTTTCAATGTGGGGATGCCGGGCATTTGAAGGCGCATTGCCCACAATTGGGTGGGACAAGGACATCGGGACCGAGCAGTGGCCCGACGGGTACACGGAATCAAACCGGAGCTTCTCAAGCGAGCCGGGGACATGGGGGAGCGAGTGCGAGCAACGCGCCATCCGTGAATCAAGGAAGAACTCAAGCTAGAGTTTATGCGATGACGGAGGCGGATGCTCGAGCTAACCCGGACTCGGTTGCAGGTATTGCCTCTTGCACAATTGTATTTTGTCCATAGTTAATCCATAAATTGATGACATAAGTCATAGGGATTGAGTGCGAGCCATTACGGGGTCAAACGGCGAAATTCGGGCCAGAACTGACCAAAAACAGGGACGCACGATCGTGCGTCCAACCCCACGCACGATCGTGCGTAGGGGGCAGTGGTTCCGGGTGATGTTCGCGCAGGACGCACGACCGTGCGTGCCGGTACGCACGCCGTGCGTGGACGCACGATCGTGCGTGTCCGGGTACGCACGACCGTGCGTAACCGGCAGTAGCCGGAAGCGAATTTTTCCATGCACGCACGACCGTGCGTGTCCCACGCACGACCGTGCGTGGACCCCAGCCGCCCGAAACCTAAGTTTTTCCCCTCGTTTTTCTACGATTGGACCCCCGTTTGATTCCGAACATCTATATGAACCTATTAACCTCCAAAAAGTGTCCTAAACCATTAGAAAGGGTATCTTACATGGTGTGTAAATGTAGGAACATTAAAGATTAATGGGAAGGATGCACGAATCCTTATCGATACCGGAGCGCAACGTTCGTTCGTGAGTGAGGCGTTCGCCGAGGACTTAGGGGTACAATCAATACCAATGACGCACACATTAGTGGTATCGACACCACTAGGGGATGACGTCGAAAGAACTAGTTGTTATCCATCTTGTGAGGTGGAAATTGATGGCCAAACCTTGACGTGTGATTTCGTACCGCTGAGTATGATGGAGTTCGATGCAATCCTAGGGATGGATTGGCTAGAAAAGCATCATGCTAGGGTAGATTGCTACACAAAGGTTTTGGAACTCGAAGGCAATAATGGGGACACCCTACGCTTCGAGGGGGATCGAGGTAAATCAAACAGTTGTATTATCTCCGCCGTGAGAGCGAGAAGTATGATGAGAAAGGGATGCCACGCATACCTAGCATACGTGGTTGACAAAACCAAGGAGGAAACGAACATTGACGACGTGAGGGTGGTTTGTAAGTACCCGGATGTCTTCCCTAAAGACCTACCGGGGCTTCCACCTGATAGGGAGATTGAATTGGTGATCGAGGTCGAGCCTGGTACCAAACCGATCTCCATACCGCCATACCGTATGGCACCCGCTGAACTTAACGAGTTGAAAACTCAATTGCAAGAGCTTTTGGATAATGGTTTCATTAGACCAAGCCACTCCCCGTGGGGAGCACCGGTTCTTTTTGTGAAAAAGAAAGACGGGACACTTCGAATGTGCATTGACTATCGTCAGCTGAACAAGGTCACAATCAAGAATAGGTATCCGTTGCCTAGGATTGATGACTTGTTTGATCAACTACGAGGAGCAACCGTGTTCTCGAAGATTGACTTGAGGTCGGGGTACCATCAATTGAAGATTAAGGAAGATGACATACCAAAGAGTGCTTTCCGCACAAGGTATGGGCATTTTGAATTCCTTGTTATGTCGTTTGGGCTAACAAACGCCCCGGCGGCATTCATGGACTTGATGAACCGAGTATTTCATAAATACTTGGACCGATTCGTGATTGTGTTCATAGATGACATCTTGATTTACTCAAAGAGTGAAGAAGAGCATGAAGAGCACTTGATACTTGTTCTTGAGACACTACGGGAGAAGCAACTTTATGCCAAATTTTCTAAATGTGAATTTTGGCTAAAGGAAATCGGCTTTCTCGGGCACGTGGTTTCGGGATCGGGAATTGCTGTTGATAACAAGAAGATAGAAGCCATTACTGAATGGGAGAGGCCAAAGAACGTCAAGGAAATTCGTAGTTTCCTTGGATTGGCAGGCTACTACAGAAAGTTCGTGGAGAAGTTCTCTGTTTTGGCATCGCCATTGACGAAGCTCACCCGTAAAGGAGCCAAGTTTGTATGGGATGACAAATGTGAGAAAGGGTTCATGGAACTAAAGAAGAGATTGACTGAGGCACCGGTACTTGCATTACCCAAACAAGGTGTGGGGTACGATGTCTATAGCGACGCGAGCATCCAAGGGCTTGGATGTGTACTGATGCAGAATGGGAGGGTAATTGCCTATGCTTCACGACAATTGAAGAAGCATGAGGTGAATTATCCTACTCATGATTTGGAGCTGGGGGCAGTGGTGTTTGCACTAAAGATATGGAGACATTATCTCTACGGGGAGACATGTCACATATACACTGATCACAAGAGCTTGAAGTACGTGTTTACTCAGAAAGAGCTAAACATGAGACAGAGACGGTGGATGGAGTTGATAAAAGACTACCATCTAGTGATAGAGTATCACCCCGGCAAGGCAAACGTGGTGGCAGATGCTTTGAGCCGGAAGAGCTCGTCTGGGGCATTGCTAGCTAATTTGAGGGCATTAAGGGCCCAACTGGAGGTATCTAGCGATGGTGCCTTATTGGCACGATTTGAGGTGAGACCTACTTTACTTGACGAGATCAAGAAGGGTCAGGAAACTGACGAAGAAATTATGAAGATCCGGGAACGCATGCAAGCGGGACCGGTGGAGGATTTCAGGGAAAGAGATGATGGTCTCTTATTATTTCGTGACCGAGTGTGTGTACCGGCAGATGACGAGCTCCGAAAGTCCATCTTAGAGGAAGCTCATTCATCGGCTTATGCCATGCACCCGGGGGGCACGAAGATGTACCGTGACCTGAAGGAGAGTTACTGGTGGTCAGGTATGAAGAGAGAAATAGCCGAATATATCAGTCGATGCCTTACTTGCCAACAAGTTAAGGCAGAACATCAGCATCCAGCAGGCTTGTTACAACCACTTTCCATTCCTGAATGGAAGTGGGAACATGTGACAATGGATTTCGTGGTAGGTTTACCACGGACAATTCGGAACTATGATGCAGTTTGGGTTGTTGTGGATAGGCTCACGAAGAGTGCACACTCCTTGCCTATCAACACTACCTACCCACTTGAGAGGTTAGCCAAATTGTATACGGATGAGATCGTGAGGCTGCATGGGGTCCCAGTGACCATTGTATCTGATAGAGACCCACGATTCACATCACGTTTTTGGCCGAAATTTCAGGAGTCTATGGGAACGAGGCTGAAGTTCAGTACTGCTTTCCACCCACAGACGGATGGGCAGTCTGAAAGAGTCATACAGATCTTAGAAGACATGCTGAGGGCTTGTGCATTGGAGTTTCAAGGAAGTTGGGACAACCACTTAGCACTCGTGGAGTTTGCCTATAACAACAGTTATCAGGCAAGCATCGGCATGCCTCCATACGAGGCATTGTATGGGAGGAGGTGCCGTACACCGTTATGCTGGGATGAGGTTGGCATGGCCAAACTCGAGGGTACTGAGTTGGTTGAGGTCACCAAATCAAAGGTGAAGTTGATTCGAGAGAGACTCAAGGCGGCTCAGGATAGACAAAAGAGTTATGCAGATAAGCGTCGAAGAACCTTAGAGTTTAAGGTTGATGACGAGGTATTCTTGAAAGTTTCTCCTTGGAAAGGGATCATTCGGTTCCAAACCCGAGGAAAACTTAACCCACGATATATAGGTCCATTCAGAATTATAGAGAGGATTGGGGCCGTTGCATATCGTCTACAGTTGACTCCTGAGTTAGAGAAGATACATAATGTGTTTCATGTATCCATGCTTAAGAAGTATGTGCATGATCCCTCTCACGTACTAGAGAAGCCACCTGTAGAGGTACGTGAGGATTTGAACTACGCTGTTCAACCTATCAAAGTCACCGATAGAAAGGTGAAGAAGCTGAGGAGCAAAGAAGTCCCAATGGTTAAAGTCCTGTGGAAGAGCGATCGGGTCGAGGAAGAGACATGGGAAGCGGAGGCTTTGATGAGGAAGCAGTATGCTTTCCTATTCGAGTAGAGCTGTGAATTTCGGGGACGAAATTCCTGTTAAGGGGGGGTGAACTTGTGACACCGCACCCGAACGTCCTTGAAAATTCGGTTTAAAATTCAAAAGTGATGTATTGAATTTCCAATTGCAAAACAATGGGAGAAACGATTAATATTTTACGAAGTACATGATTGAATATTGTATTGTTCAAACCCGCATTCTTTTGTAATTTTCATCGTGTAAATTATTGGGATGAGCCTACACATATTGGAGATCAATAATGTGATTTAGGAAGTTGACTTGTTCTAAATAAATTAGGATGAGTACAAAAAGACATCTTTGACAAAGATAAAACAATAGGACCCATCTTCCCATTTTTGGAAGTATTGGTAGATATTTTGGACCCCAAATTTAATGGGATCAATTGGGAACCACTCCACATGGTATTAGTACCTGCAAAACAAATAAAAATGGGTTAGGAGACTTACCTTGGCCGGCCATTATGGAGAAGAGCTGCACATGACTTGATAAGAATCAAAGTTTGGGGCCACCACTCTTATTTTCGCACAAATTGGTGTGCTGTTTGTCTCCTCTCATTATAGGAGCTATCCTCAACCAAATAACGTGTATGAGGTGTCCTTGGATAGCCTTTGAAGTCTATTATCTCAATTGAGTGGTCTTTGTTCGAGGAGAGAAGGATTATCTTGCAAAAATCGAGCTGGAACGAGCAAAGGTCTGTGAACTCGAGCTGTGAGAGTGCTGAGACTGTTTGGTCGATATCTCGAGTTTTACAAGTCCAATTAAGGCGTGTGAGATACCCACAGAAAGCTCTCAAGACGAGGAATCCGTGAAGGTCTGGTTTGCAGGAATCGGAGTTGTGGAAGGCTTCCAAATCGTCCGAGCAAAACACAACCTCGCAGGAGAGGATTTAATCTTCTAAAGTGAGTTTTAACCCCAAAGCTTTACTTTTCATTCTCCAAATGATATGAACGATTGGTGAGACTATTATACACTAATCCAAGTGTATAATATGTCCCTAAAAAGTTATCTTATTGATGTAAAGGTTAGATACTAACCTAGATGCAAATATTGGAAAACTAGGAATCGAGTTAGCCGGAAAACACCCGTTCTAGGGGCTGTTTTCATATCAACGATTAAGGGCTGAACTAGCACTTTGAGGAGGCTGTTTAACACTCATATTTGAGCAAGGAATCAGTCCCAAATCCACCTTGACCAAAGATTTGACCATTGGACCAAGAAGGGAAAGTTTAAAGCTCAATTGAGGTGAGGATTGACATCTAATTGCTTACAACTTGTAGGTTAAACATGAGATTACCTAAATGCTTAAATCATGGTTTTTCATGGATTATGATGATTATATATATTGATGAAATATTGATATAGTTGCCAAGGAATGAAATTTGAAATGATTTGAGAAGGTATGAATAATATGAGATTAAATGAGTATAAATGAACTATTTTGTGAAAATGGGCATTTTGCTCATGTATGAATTATGTGGATACATAAATGAATATTTGTGTATTGAGATTGAATACTTAAGTTGCTGCTACATAATTATAAATATGTAGAGAATTACAAATAATGAGGATAATGGTATGATAACAATAATCTTAATAGTATTGAAATACTAGTTAGTGATTATTGGAACTTGTTGATTAAATCGATCCTAGGGATTGGATTGTATGAAAGGTACTTGAATATAGTTCAAGTGTATATAATAACTTAGTTTGGAACTAAGGTTAAGTTATGGGAAGTCTTTAAGGATGACCCAAAGTAGTTTAATGATATGTCAATTCTAGGCATGGGGTTGCTTGAGAATTGGACCTTAATGCATGGTGATGTAATAGAGCCGAGCTCTAGAATGCATGTAAGGTGTAGACTTGGAGTCTATGTATTGTATAGCTAGAGCCGAGCTCTAGGACTTGCGTGGTGATGTAATAGAGCCGAGCTCTAGAACGCAAGGTAAGGAAATTGGCCCGAGGTATATGAATTGTATGGTGATGTAGTAGAGCCGAGCTCTAGAATACAATGTCATGTACTAGGGTTGGACTCTAGGAGTTGTCGTGGCTTATAGTCACGGGGTTGGGAATGGTGATTTCCAAATGAACATGGGCCCACGGGCCATCTACTTGACTTTTATATAAAGTAAGTATATTTTTAAACGGGGTAACTTAGGGTTACAATCATAATGTACTATCACCCTATTTGAGGGTCTTGTGTTTGAAATACTTGTTGTATATCTATTAGATGCCTGCCACACCAGCACTTTATAGCCGTATAGAGTGCTGACCCCTTCGGGGGCGTCCCACCACCATTTTTCAGGTTGAGGCTAGAGCTTGCTTCCTGTGCTCGTTGCTCGAGAGATCATCTAGGAGCGAAGACTTGGTTCGTGCTTCCTCCATTCGGATTTTAAACATTAATAAACATGCTCATGGATATTTTAATATAGAGCCTGCGTGCTCATGAATAGCCCTGTGTGGCCCTTTTGTTTTAAACAATGTTTTCCGCTGCTTTATGAATTACTTATTATGTTGTTTATGGATGACTTGTGTGTGAATGATATTCATGACGCCTTGTATAATATGAATGTGTTGGACTGCGGTTGACTATTCGTATTGTACGGCGGGTTGTTGCCGTGTCCGGGGAGGTCCGGGGCGTGACAGGTCAAGTCTTCATCACCCTATTAATAAAGACTTTGATGTTGGTCATCAAATTTTTCTCCTATAATAAGCACTTTGTTAATTAGTTATGGTGGGCTGCTGCTATTACTCAGTAACCGCTCTTTGCCTTAACTATGCCACTGCTCAGTAATCATCATGCACTAAAACTATCCATAAACTGTTCAATATGTACTTGTGAAACTATTTGATGTGTATTGAAGGGTCTATGAGTCTTTCTATTATGCTAAATGCAGTATGTTCATGCGACTAAAAAAACATGCAGCCCGATAAATTTTTGGGGCCAGATGGTATGAATTCAATAAATTTTTCAAAGCTATTGGGAAATAGTGGGCTCAAATGCTATTGATTTTTGTTCAAATTATTTTAATCAAGAAAGTGTTCCCATGGCTAAGAATAAGACCAATCTTGTTTTAATCCCAAAAGAATTAACACCTGAAGGTATGAGGGATTGGAGCCCGATTGCTTTGTGCAATGTTATTTGTAAAATATTTGCTAAAGTGCTGGCCAATTGATTGACACATATTATTAGTGAAAATCAGAGCGCTTTTGTTCCAGGAAGGAATATTGTGGACAATATTATTATAGATTTTGAGACTCACTATTTTTTGAAGCAGAAGAAATTGGGAAAAGAGGGATGAGGCTTAAAACTAGGTATGAGTGAGGCATATGATAGAGTGGCATGGAAATTTTTAAAGACAGTGATGGTGGAGTTGGGGTTTGATATGAGATGGATTAATTAAATTATAGACTGTGTATCATCTGTTTCGTATAATATCCCTTTTGATAATTCTGCAATCGAGCCTATCACGCCTAAACGGGGGTTGCAACAAGGAAACCCCTTGTCTCCCTATTTGTTTATCCTAGTACGGAAGGTTTAAGTGCTTTGATTCAGAAACGGGAATTTAGTGGAAGTTTTGGAGGAATTGCAGTGGCGAGAGGGCCACCAAAAAATTATCATCTTTTATTTGAGATGGTAGTTATTCATTTTTTTCGAGCAAGAATAAAAGAATGTTTGGGCATGAAAGAAATCCTAAAGCATTATGAGAACCTTGCATGACAATTTTTTTTTTTTGATAAATCAAGTATTTCTTTCAGTTCTAATGTGAGGAATGCATTGCAGAATGAGGTGCACACTTCGCTGGGAGTGCATGAAGGGATGTCCCCGAGTAAAAATTTGGGGTTGCGAGCACTAGTTGTGAGGAAGAAGAGGGAGATACTAAAATACCTCAAAGAGAGAATTATTAAAAAGACTACGTATTGGAATAACCAGTTTCTTTCTAAATTGGGAAGATATATTTTATTGAAGACAGTGATCCACACGATGCCAACATCTGCTATAAACGTGTTTCTACTATTGGATACTTTAATGCAAGAGGTCGAGCGGTTGATGAATGATTACTGGCGAAGAGGCAACAACTTCACGGTTAAAGGTATCTGTTGGACAAGTTGGAAAGCAATTTGTATCCCTAAAGCTTGTGGAGGGTTGGGATTTAGACGGTTAAAGGAATTTAACATAGCCGTGCTGGAAAAACAATGTTGGAAACTATATATTATCCGAGCCAAATACATTGATTAGTTGGGTGTTGCAAGCAAAGTACTTCCCTAGAGGTAATTTCATGGAAGCCAAACATTAGAATACTCCTTCATTTATTTGGAGGAGTATACTATACTAAACGGCTCAAGAGATTATTGTAGGATGTACTCGTAGAAGAGTGAGAAATGGCAGAGAAATTTCAGCGTGGATGGACTCTTAGCTCCCTGGGAAGGGGTCTGAGAGGGTGTCTTATGCCCAGCCAGAGTATGTTGTAATATGAATGTAGCATCTCTACTTAATGAGGATGACAAAAGCTAGAATATTCAACGTGTTAATTCGTTATTCATAGAGAAGGAAGCGATTGTAATACGAAGCATTCCTTTGAGTTCACGTCGGGTGGAAGATGGTGTCTATTGAAAAGATGAGGTCAGTGGTAAGTTTTCAGTTCAGAGTTGTTACAGAAGGCTAATAGGAGAAATCCAGCCTTCATGTTGGACAAGATGGACAACAACTTGGATGTTCCAAATTTCACCTATAATTAAGTTTTCTTGGCAATTTGCTAGAGGCATTGTCCCAACAGTTGATATTTTAAAAAAGAAGGGAGTGCAGGTTATTGGAGATTGTCATCTTTGCAAGCAAGAAGAGGAAAGGATGGTCCATTTATTTATTAAATGCAAGGTAGTTTTGACGTGCGGGAGGCTGCCGATTTCTTATCCATACTAATGGGGGATTCTATTGAAGGGTGCCTTCAATATGTTTTTAATTGCTTAGCTGAGGATGTTTTGTGCAGATTTATAATGATCTTACGAGAAATTTGGAAGGCTAGGAATTAGTCTGTTTGGCGGGGGAATCGTTTATGAAGAGATGAGTTTTGCATTTTGCAATGACCATGTTAACAAGTTGGAGGTTAGCCCATGAAGGAAGAAACCAGTTTGCAAGCATAATTGGACATTTACACGAGGCTAGATGGTAGAACCCAGAGATGGAATGGATTAAGATTAATGTGGACGCAACTAACAACGCCAGGGTCTAGAGGTGGGCTTGGGTGGCTCGAGACAACAATGGAATTTGTATTAAAGCATGCAACAAGGTAGTAAGGCAATGTGGACTCCATTGGAAAGGAAGCTCTGGAAGTGCGAGAAGTTATGTACTGGGCAAGACTAAATGAGTGACACAAGATTATGATAGAGATGGATGCCGCACTTATGGTTTTTGGGATACACAGGGAGATGTTTGCTTTCTCAAGTCGGGGTTATTTTGGAGGATATAAATCTCTTATTAAGTGAGAATTTAATGTTAAAGATAAAGTGGTGTAAGATATCAACGAATCAGGTAGCTAACGCTATAGCTCGAGCAACTGTTTCTTCGTCTAGTTGTGATACCAGTTTTATCAACCCACCACCTTGTATTGTAAGCCATTTGACAAACGATCTTTTAATATAATTATATACGGTTTTGGTATTTTCTCTATAAAGGTCTTGTTTGGTAAATGGCAGTTAGCTGTTGCTGTTAGCTGGTTGTGTCAGCTGTTTCCTAACAGTTAGTTGTGTTAGCTGTTTTGACCGGCTGGTTATGTTAGCTGATTATAAATAACTGTTTGGTAAAATTGGTTGTTTCAAAATGGCTGATAGAGTGTAAATTGAACCAGCCGAATGAAGAAGCTGCTCCCCTAAGCTTCGTCAATCATCCATTTTTTCAACTTTTCAAACTCAACAAGCTAATTTTATAAGTCATTTACCAAACATTATTATTAGCCATTTGCCAAACATACCCAAAAAAATCAATTTGGGGTGACACCCATGTATCCTAAGAACGGATTTTCACTTGGGCCTCTAATCCAGCAAGGCCCACCAAATGGCTGCGATCTAAAACGATAGCGATCATTCAGAAAATCCAGTCATCAACTTTGGTACCATTCCATGGACGACGCCGGAGCATACTATGCCCCTCTCGCTCAGTACTCGTATTACCAGCAACCTCCTCCGCCACCGCCTGGAACGGCGCATCAGCTTCCGCCACCAAATGTTCACCTGTCTCATCACCAACAATACCACTCTTATCAAACGCCGGTAGCCACCTATGCCACTTCGCTCTATGCTCCTCCGCAATCCGATGGCGATGTCCGAACTCTCTTCATCGCGGGACTTCCGGAAGACGTCAAGCCGCGAGAAATTTATAATCTTTTCCACGAGTTCCCCGGATATGAGTCTTCCCACCTCCGAAGCCCTACCTCGAATACGCAGGTATATATAAACTTTTAAGATGCGTCTCTGGTGCTTCTTTTCTTTTCGAATGTGTTAAATCACTGCCACTGATAAGTTTTCTATTGCACTATCAAACTCGGGTGGGTGTCGTTACCGACTTTGGCAATATCTTTCTGGCTTTAATGGGTTATATTTGTGCGGTAACTTTTTCATATAATACTTTTTTTTGCTTAATCTATAAGTAGTTCTCAAACAAATTATTATATGTTGGCCGAGTTGCAAGTTTTTTGGTGGTATTATGATGCGAGAAGACTGTATTAGATTAATTAAAAATTGGGTAAGAGGCCACTTGGGATGTGGTGGTGGGGGTGGAGATTGAATAAATAGTTCAAACGTCTCTATACATTCATATATAGACTATACAGTTACAAGATGATATACTGATCCATAAGAACAAATACTTTCTAGAGTAATGTAAGGGTATCTCTTCTACAGTCATACTATCTATAATGTTTCTATTGTTTGATGCAAATATGAAATCTGACATTTTACTTTATTTCTTCCAGCCATTTGCATTTGCAGTGTTTGTGGATCAGCAATCTGCACTTGCAGCAATGTATGAACTGAATGTAAGTTTTTTTCTTTCCCACATTTATGTGCATTTCTGGAGCCATTTACCCATTGAGGTACATGGGGCTTCATGGGCATGAACTGTCTTCAAATCATTTATGGATATGCGAGTTTTTGGGGTAAGCAAGACATTCATTACGTAATTACATACTGCTTGCAGGGGCTGGTATTTGACCTTGAGAAAGGATCCATTTTGTTCATTGATCTTGCAAAATCTAATTCCAGGTCAAAACGGCAAAGAACAACAGGTGTCTTTGGTGGTTGCTATTTATTTGCTGCTAAGTTGGTGCTTCCTTTGTAATTTTATATGTACTCCCTCCATCACAAATTAATTGTCATTTTAGCCAATCCTTTTTGCCACAAAATAGTTGTCATTTTAGGACTTCAAATTGTTTACGGTACTAGCCTCTCAAATGTGCGCATATCAACTCTTCTCACACTAAATACTTTTGTTCTTTGAAAAAATAAGATGTAGTATGTGGTTCAATTTAGGCTAGAAGAGTCTTTATGCAAGAAGAACAAATAATGTGCACACTTCTCTAAAATGTCAATTTATTTGGGATAGAGGGAGTAATTAAAAAAATGATCTGAGTGGATTAGTTCTTCTTAACCAGCAGATGATGATGGGCTTGGATTGGATAAAAGAATGAAAGGATCTGCAGCCGTTTCAAGAGTCATTGAATCTGGTATCATATCATTCCTGTCTTTTTCTCTATCTAGATACCTATGATATTAAACCAGTTATTGGGTAATTTGATGTGTTTTGTCTTTAGTCATGAGGAAGTTATTAGGAACTCATAGAGATAACTAGTCACTGCTGAACACAATATTCTAAAGGCTCACATTGCACATCTTTTGCACGCTTGGGCACTAGCAGGTGTTGGCAACATTCACATTCCTGGAATGAGTAGTTCTGCTTACAACACAGTTGGTTATCCACCTACACAAAGGTCATCTGCACTACTTAAGCACAATCCTTCTCACCTAGAAGTGATTTGCTTCTCACTGGATTATGTTGTTGGATTTTATGTATTTATTACTTGTAGCGGAAAGGTTAAGGGCTTTGTATAAGAAGTTAGACTTTTGGGCAATATCTTACAAGCAAATTTATTTGGTCATTCTAATTTTCACTTTCTTGTGTGCTTCAGTTATGCTAATTTTGATGGTAGATCTGGGAACGAGAGCAATGCAAACAAGGTCAGTTATCCTTTCTTTTTGGTACTTCAATTTAGAAATTAGGCCCCCACCCCACCCCCAAAGCACATAACTTTAAATATATTATATTCTGCCGATCTCAGTTTACGATTTGTATCACTGAATCACTCAATGAGAATAAATACAAGTTTTAAGTTAGTATTCATAAGGTGTCAATGAGAACTCAATGAGATTGAGATCTAATCTGACTCATTTTTATCACTGATAAATTGCATTACGTTGTTAGTTTATATTCTGTATAGCATTTGGCATTTTCATCCAATATATCACTTTTTGAGCCACATACTTGCTGTATAGCAACTTTAGGGTACTTAAATAAAGGATCATTTGCATTTCACTACTGTATATGGAGTCCTTTTTGTACATTTAAAATTCGTTAGTACACACATGTCCTTTTTCATTTCTAAAGATTAATGAAGCAGCTGTAAAGTCTGTATACTTTTTTTTTAACAGAATGCACCTCCATGTCCTACACTCTTTGTGGCTAATTTGGGGCCAAATTCTTCAGAACAAGAACTCAATCAAGTGTTTTCAAGGTTCAAGGAATCCTTTTGCTAATTGATGGCATTTTGACAAATTATCTTTGATCAATATTATAAATATAATTCTCTATTTCTGCTGGTTAGATGCCGTGGATTTTTAAAGTTGAAGATGCAAAGCACCTATGGAGCTCCTGTTGCTTTTGTTGACTTTAAGGTAGTTTTCTAACCACTTCTATGATAGAACTGTTCAAATGCTTTCTACATTTGCCTAAGCTGCATTTCAGTAAGTTTTTAATGTGGTTCACTCCCATGGTCTCACCCACAATTTCTTCCACAAAGACACAAATCCCTCTTCATTTTCAGCCTTTGTAATGTATAAAGTATCCATTTTTTTTTATCATAAGCAGTTGTTTTGGATTTGCTATACTACTAAACTTGCAGGATACTGCTAGTTCAACTGAAGCTCTGAGCAATCTTCAAGGGGCAATTCTTCACTCCTCACCAGGCGAGGGCATGAGACTAGAGTATGCTTTGATTGCTGCCTTTTGAGCTAGTCAATTGACCCCTACCCCATAGAAGGAAAAAAATGAAGACAAGAAACTTTTTTTCCTGTTATTTTACCCCAAAAATACGAGATGACTAAATTGGCAATATAGTTGCTGCAAAAATATTACCAAGGTCACTATACAGTAAAATTTAAATCACCATGGCCACTATACAGTAAAAGTTAAATCACCATGGTCAAAGGTCACTGTAGTCACCATGAACATATTATTGTGGCAACTACACAATTAAAGTCACATTTTTGTTCCTTTTTTATTTCAGTCATATGTCTCAATATTTCTAATCATTATTTTATGATTCTTCTCTTGTTTTTCCGTGATAAATGTTAAGATATGCAAAATCACGGATGGGAATGCGCAGCAAGAAGTCCAGATAAGAAAATCAGATGCTGCTGAGTTTAAGATTTGTATTTTCGTACACTTGGTTAAAAGCTAAATCGCAGTCACTACCGACTGCCCCGCTGATGAAAGGTAAAAGAATCAAGTATATGTGAGGAACGGAAGTGGGCATTGAGAATGTGGGGCTGATATCGGTGTGATGTTATATGTTCATTGATGCTCAACAAACGGATTATTGTTTCAAGTTAACATGAAATAGAAATAGTGGTACCATGTCTTTGTTTTGCATTGTTGTCAGCTAGCCTATCGTATTTATTGTTTTTCTTTGTTCAACTTTTCAAGTGAAGGCCCAGCTGGTATGACAGCTTATTTGAAAAACATGGGCTTTTTAAAACGTTGATCATATGACAAGAGAGTAACGTCTAGAAAAAGCTTATGACTCAAATGAATAATAAAATGTTTCGTAGTCTTATTCCTCGTCCATGGTTCATGTTGTGTGCTGAATGCCTGAATTGCTAATGAGATTGTGGTTTTATTACATAGTTTCGATTAGAAGCTACAGTATATATGAACATTGAGTTCACTAATTAAGTTTGAAATAATAATCCTTGAGGCTGATTAGTCTTCCCGCAAATTTCAATTATTAAGTTCTGAATAATGATTTTGTGTAACCTTGCTCCTATAACATATTTTTCGTTAATAGTCTTACTCATGTATAAAATGATAAAAAGATAACAAATTGAATTGTTTTCAATCTTCTAGTAATTCTATTTATTCTAACGTTAAAATGTTATATTTTGAATTGCTTTATATCGTATATTTTGCTCTTTTCAACAAATCTATGACTTATGTTGATAAATTGCGTTTGCTTTTCTAGATGTGAACGCTATAACTTATATCGCTGTTGATCGCTTTCCAAACGAATGAGAGACGAAGTGTAAACTCATTGTCACAGAAGTGATACTACCTGTCCCAAATTAAGAAATGAATTACATGGTTTATAGACAATAATTAAGAAATGTAAACTCATTGTCTTATATGTAATTTGAGTATATTTTGAGAAGTAACTTGAGTGGCCTGGGTTATAATATACGGAGTAATGATTAATGAGGCAATTGATGGTAATTGAGATGTTATAAGTGTACTGTTTTTAATATATGATAATTAAATTATCATTAGGAATGTTTATTATTTCTCGATATAGAAATGAGAACTTTTGGATGGGATAAAAAAAAAGCAAATGATGAGAACCTTAACTTCGCACAAAGAGAATACTGTGGAGGTGTTTGATTTTGTTCTAGCTCCTTTTTTTTTAAAAGAAGTAGAATCAAAATAAGTTTTTTAGAAGTTAGTCTCTCAACTTCTCAAAAACTGCTTTTGAGATAATTTGAATCATTTAGAAGTAGACTTAGACCCGGTTCGGGCCGCCCGGCCCGGGACCAGCCCGGCCCGCCACTGTGCGGGCCCGGAACCGGCCCGGTTCTCGGGTCCGGGTCCGGGTCGGGCCTAGGCCCGGTGGGGGGGCGGGTTCGGGCTCGGGCTCGGGCCTTGTATTTGGCGAACCGGGCCAAAAACTGTTTTTTTTTATTCTTTCATTTTTTTGGGCTTTATTGAGTTGGGCTTGATGTTTAGGACCGGTTTGGGGGGTTTGGGGGGTGGGGGTGGGGGGGGGGGGAAGAAAAGAAAAAATAAATAAACTAACCGGGTGGCCCGGCCCGGAACCGGACCCGGACCCGGAACCGGTGGCCACCGGTTCGGGCTCGGGCTCAACAAAACAGACCCGAGGCCTGGCCGGGCCTAGGCCCGAACCGGGCCCGAACCGGCCCGGGACCATCCCTATTTAGAAGTGTTTCTGCACTTCCATCCAAACTCTCCAATATTTACTTCTAATCTTTGAAGGAACAAAAACATTTTTGAAGAAACAAAAATAGTTTTAACAATTAGGCCAAAAAACCTCTTTATATGCTTCTTTAAAAAACCACTTGTTCATACTTTTGTTGTTTGTCTGTCCAAAAGTATTGCTCAACTTTTTTCAAGGAAATAATAAGCGATTTGTAAGTGACCCTCGATATTTTATTAGTTCTAAGTTCCAACATATCGGAAACCTAGTGCCTTTCGTATATTTAATAATATCTCAAATACCCCATTTTCGTTTTAGTTCTTCTGCATGATAGACTTTGATAACTTTCTTTCTTTGTTATTATTAAAAAAGGATATAAATTTCCAATTAAGATAGTTACTTGATGTTTTTTATAATTTTTCTTCTAATTACATAAATTATTTAAAATTATATCGTGTGCTATTGGGTCAAGCTGTTGAGATCTTTGGAGATGGTGATGAGTATTAAATTATATGATGGGTCAAAATAGGTAATATTTTGGGATTAAGAAAATGGACACAATTTCCAAATGGAATAAAAAAGCAATAATTATATGTCATTTTATTATCCAAAAAGCATATAATTTTCCAACTAAAATAGCTCCTTTGTGATTTTTATAACTTTTTTTTATTACATAAATTTGAGATAAAATTGTATGTACTCTATCGTTATTCTATCATGTCGAGGTGTGGTGACATCTGGAGTGAACGGTTCCATTTTTTGAATTGAATATTGAAGTACTATCTCTGTCCCATTGTGTTTGGGACAATTTGATTTACGATGCTTGACTGACGATAAAGCAAACGGATCCCTGTCCGAACTCAATTTATTTCTAGAAAAAAAATTACATATTCATAAATTAAATTTAAAGCTATACACAGTCGCAAAAACTAGAATCAAATTTCATAAAAATTTGATATATAAAGTAAGAGATTAAGAGTGATTTGTGTTGACCAAGTGAATAGTGTCTGAGACAATCTTAGCGGGACGGAGGAGTATTTGGGACCTAAAAACTGGATGAGACTATTTCGTAACAGGATGAAAAGGCAATAATTAATTATATGCTTTTTTATTACACTTTTTTAACGCTTTTTATTATTATACAAAAACATATACTCCCTCCGTCCCAGAAAATTCTTCCTAGTTTGACTTGGATCGGAGTTTAAGAAAGTGGGAATAAAGTGGAAATGTGTGGTTGTAGTTGTGTAAGAAAAAGGTGAAATGAATGTGAGCCACACAAATAATCAAAAAGGTGAAGTTGGAAGAATTTTCTGGGACGTCCCAAAAAGGAAAGTTGGAAGAATTTTCTGGGACGGAGGGAGTAATTTTGTAATTAAAACAGTTACTTTGTTATTTTTATAATTTTTCTTTGGATTAACATTGTATTTTCTTATTATGTGTCATTGCGTCAAACAAGATAGAGGGGTTGAGATAGAGTACTAAATTGTATACCCGCATCTAGAGTTTAATGATGGCTGAGTAAGGCATTTGGTTGAACTCTCAGGTTCTTTCCAGGATAAAGGTGGTGTGGGGTTCCATCCAATATAATGGCTTCTTGAACGTATCAGGTCTTGAACCGTCACATTAGAAATTGTTTGAGATAATATCGTGACTACTCCTCCATCATTCTACTAGGATACGGAGTGACTGACACATAAGGTGGGGGATTCCACGTTTGAGTTCAGTATTACTTCTTTCGTCTCATTGGGCTTTGTCAATTTTATTTTTTCACAAAACATTACCATTCTGCCTTATACATAATTTGTAGTTCTACTTATTTGTCCCTCCTTTGCGCAACTCTCAATGACATAATTTTTTTTTTTCTAATTTGAAAATTAATAGTCTCTCTGTCACTTAAAACTTTGCCAACTTTGGCTGGCAACCGCGGATTAATAAAGTGAAAACTGTGTAGTAGAGGTTTGTGCAAAGAAGAGAGAATTAACAAGAATGACAATTTCTTTACTTAAAAGAGAAAGTAACGAAGTTAGTGAGATAACAAAAAAAATGGGAAAAGGTGCAAATAGGCCCATGTACTAACCAAAAAAGGTCAAATAAGCCCTTATTTAGGAGGCTCTGTCCAGCCGTCGCCATTTGGGTTGGTTCCCGGTGGATTTTTTTGATGAAACTTTTTGAGCATCTTATTCATTAAGTCTCGTTTAATCATACAAAATTTCAGCTAAAACTTCAACCGGGAAGGCATTCAAATGAATTCTTGAAAATAACTGCACACTTAGAAGCGCAATTATCTTCAAGAATTCATTTGAATGTCTTCCCGATTGAAGTTTTAGCTGAAATTTGATATGAGTAAACTAGACTTGATGAATAAGATGCTAAAAAAATTTTATTAAAAAATTCCACCGGGAACCACCCCAAATGACGACGGCCGGACAGAACCTCCTAAATAAGGGCTTATTTGACCTTTTTTGGTTAGTACATGGGCCTATTTGCACCTTTTCCCCAAAAAAAAATTGACAAAGTTTTAAGGGATAACGAGAGTTTTGCCGGTGTCTAATGGGACAAAATTAATTAATTATATATTGGGTCAAAATAGGAAATGGGGGGTGTTTGGAAGACGAGGTTTCAGTAAAAATGATGATTTTGACTCCTAGTATTTTCAATAAGTCAAAATGTTGTGTGGTAAATAGTTCGGTTCTAGTATTTTTGGATGAAACCATTGAAATAAAAATGATGCAAATAACAACGTTTTAGGTTAGCACTTCAAAATAAGGCATTTTCTCTACTACCCCCACTGTCTCATTCAACGTTCTCACTTCTTTTCTGAACGCCCCTAATTAAAGGTTCCTATTTTCTATTTTATGAAACAATTAACACCCTTGAATATTAATGTAATTATCAAATATTATAAATGATGCATCTATAACACGAAAGTTATCATTAATAATTCATTATATTATATACACATAAAACTATTTATTAAAATATACTCAAATTAGCATGTTTAGTTATCGATAAAATAATCATGAGAACATTTTAACGGGACAAAGATAGTAATCGTTATGGCTTATGACCAAACAAACAAGCAACTACTATATTGATAAATGCTAATCATTTATTTTGCTGAATGATTCGATTTTGAGAATTTACCCTAAATAAGACTAAAAACATTTGTAAATTCCAAAATGGGACTGCCATATTTTTAATTCCCAAAATGGGACTAATTACTGTCATGTTGTGGCAGTACCAGACTTTAAACATGACAATATTTTTCAAACTTGATAGTAATTACTCTTATTTTGGGAATAAAAACATGATAGTCCTATTTTGGAATTTACAAACGTTTTTGGTCCCATTTCAGGAACTCCCCCTTCGATTTTTGACAACCCGTTAACATAATTTGGATACAAAAATGTTATAGGTACCCCAATTTGTACCCACACCCTATTTTTGTGACTCACAAAAGCAACTCATTAAAGTGAAACAATTCATTTATTAAAAAAAAAATGAAGTGAGATTTTGTAAGCTACACAAATTGATTGAGTTACAAATTGGGGTGCAAAATGGGATAAGGATAGCAAGGTTGATTTGGATAAGCTTGGAATGCCTAACACCGTCAATGATTTGAGATTGGGAACGGGATG